GGACCCGCCAACGGAAGAGCCGTGCACTATCGAGGCGTGAGGTCCCCAATACCCAGGACTGTAAGCTTCCCGGGAAACCCGTGCAGTGTGTCGAAGACGACACGACCATGTCCGACACGGGTAGCTCGAGCGCACACTCCGACGATACGGACGACGACTACCGTGCGAGCAGCGAAGAGGATGATCCAACGAAACCGCCATCGAAGCGTCGCAGGCTTCCCACACCGCCATCCGACGCTGCGTCGCGCCGTCCTCGGTTTCGGATCCCAAGGGCAGCAGCCGCTGCAGGTCGTGAAGGTGCCGAACGGGAAGACAGCAGGGTGCGAACGACGACTGCGAAGGACCCTTACACGACCCCCCCGAACACTAATCATGGACCGGACACATACGCCCACTCCCGACCTCCTATTGATGACGAGACGCGTAGTTGCCCTCTTCCGTTGTTGGCCCGAGGGGAAGCCGTGATGCTTTCATCTACAGTGGCCCAAGTCGTTTTCGAGATGGTCACGGGCCGTCCAATGACCGCCTCAGATCTCGCGAGTGAGACGACAGCCGCGGCTGACACCGAGAGAGATTGCAGCGAACGGAAGGTCGAGGGTCTGGATGGGAAAAGACGTCGCTGGACTCGAGAGGAGGACAACCGTCTAATGGCCCTGAAGCGGGACGGCTTCTCTTGGCCGGAGATCGAGGAGCGGTTTCCACACAGACAGCTCGGCTCATTGCGGCAGCGATGGTGCACAAAACTTCGGAATACGCACGCAAGCAACCCTCCCACCGACAAGCTGAGGCAAGAGGGGAAATGTAAGCGCGCCCATGCGTAGAATGTGTGTGTTGCAATGGGTATTTGCTGATGCCATGCGAGCCTACCAGGTCTTGCGTCGGCTGGTGAACCCCTTCCAATATCGAAGCCGCCCACACCCCTCGAAACTTCACATCGCTATCCCGGCGGACAACCCCAACCAGCAGATGATCCGGCCACGCCGAATGCGAAACCCCGCACACCATCTCCGTCCTCAACAGTGACCGCCATGTGCCCAGTGTGCAATTCTGTGGTCGAGGTGGAGGCCTCCAGTGCGTTCCATGCCGCCAACAATCGCATGCGGGTCCGCGAGCAGCTGCGGTTCTGCGAGAAGCACCGGAAGGAAACCGCACGGCGCGAGTGGTCCCGACTTCGTTATCCCATCATTGCTTGGGACCGCCTAGATGATCGGTTGACTCAATTCCATCCTCGCCTGCGCCGGATCCTCGATGACTCCGGGTACCGCTCCCCCTATAAGAGTGTTGTGCTCAAGAAAGTGCGGAAGCATGGCAGGAAGATCCTCTCTCAGAGTGTCCTGCACAGTACCGGCTACTATGGCCTTAGAGGCCATGAGATCCT